TGTCGCTGTCGGCTTCGCAGAGCGATTCGGCGCAGCCATCCCTCCTCCGCCGCCTCCTCCGCCTCCCCCTCCGTGCTCTCCCTCCTCATCATTGTCCTTATCCTGCTCCTCCACAGTCCTTCTGATCTCCCTCCTCAGCCTCCTAATCATCATACTCACCCCATATTCATCCTCATCCTCCTCGTCATACTCTTCCTCGTCATTACCCTCTCGTCGTCATCATAACCATCAGCATCATCATCACCACCACCACCATCATCATCATAATCGTCATCATCATCACCAACACCATCATCATCATCACCCTTGTCATCATCATCATCGTCATCATCATCATCCTCATCATTATCATCAGCATCATCATCACCACCACCACCACCAACATCCTCATCATCACCACAATCGTCATCATCAGCATCATCATCAACATCATCATCAACACGTCATCACATCATCATCAGCATCAGCAACATCATCATCAGCATTATCATCCACATCATGAACACCAATACCATCGTCGTCACGAATCATTACGGAAGAGGGCGAAGCCACTCAGATATATTTGAAGCCCCCACATCCTGATCTTTAAAACAACATCAGCCGTCCTAATGTCAAACCGAGACAATACGATACAACATTCTTCCCTGGTCATCCTCCTCCCTCCTCCCCCCGCAACCGCCGCCGTTGCCGCAGCCACTGGTGTCGTCCTCGTCCTCGTTCTCCTTCCAAGGTCCCAGGCCCATTTGAAGGTCACATTCACAAATTGCTATATACGGGCACGCCCTCGAAACCGACCAGAGTAACCCTCTTTCCCGGTTCTAAAGATGGGTCATCTGGGCAGGAAAGGAAGGAAGGACAGTGGAGGAGGGGCGGCACGGGCGCCTTGTCTCGTATCTCCGGCGCGTCCAGATTCGCGAAGGGAATGTCGACAGCGAGGGCCTGGACATCCGGGGGTCAACTCTCGAAGCCGCTCGACCAGGGAGTCAGGGTGGCAGGGCAGGCTCCGCAAGGCTGCTGGAGACGGGTGCCTGGAGTGCCTGCCTGGGGGCAGGCACCTTGCCGTCGCTCGGACGTCCACTTCCCGTGCATTTCGGTTTCGTGCGTGTTTTTTTGTTTGCTCGATGGTCCAGGAGGGTCCTCGATGGTCCTCGCGGAGAAAACATGCACACGTCCGAGCGATGGCAAGGCAGGCACGTGCCTGGCGCGCCTCGAGGCGCCAGGCACCGGGGCCACAATCGACCGCCCAGAGATGGGCGCGTGCGTGCGCCAGGCTGCGCCTCCGCCTCCCTCGGCCCCCCTCGGCCCCAGCGGGGGGGGGCTTCCTGCGCGCGGGCCCGCCGGTCCCCTGCGCGCAGGCCCCCAGAGCCCAACCGCCCATTTGGCGTCGCCGGGCCGCTGCAGCGCTCAAGCGGACAGGCCTGCAGGCGACGCGGATGTCCAGCGGATCGCATACACACCGAGATACAGTAGGGGCTCGACCACAAGAAACCTGCCACAAGAAACCCGACCCTGATACCCCAGGACGCTCCATTGATTTTTGGTGTGGGATCGCCACGCTGTCCATACCAAAACCATCGAAACCCAAGAAACCCGGGGCACCCTGGAGGCAAGCAGGGTGTTTTTTGGCATGGGCCCCCACAGCACAGCAGGAGAGAAGGCAACAAAATGCCTGGACATCCGACGATCTGATTCCTGTCAATCCGCGGCCCCACACCTGCACCGTTCCCCGGGGGACATGTTGTCCTGGCACCGTTTTTGAAGGCCCCTCGTGCCAAAACCCGCCCCTTCCCTGGGGGGCACGCGAACCAACCCTTCGGCTGGAGAACATCGCGCACTGCCCGCGCGAGGCGCCTTCCCCCCCCACCACTTTGGCTCGTGGGTTGCGCTGAGGGCCTTAGGCTAAAGGGGGGGCGACAGGCCTCGAGGAACAAACAACGGCAACATTACAAACTTGTGGAGCTGCGCGCGGAATTCTTGGATCTGCGTTGCTGGAACACCCTCCCTGGCGCGCGCGCGGGGGAGGGGCCACAAGCGATCCAGGAAATCCGCACGGAACCCCACCTGTTTATGTTTATGCCGTTTCTGGTACTCATGTTTTTTTTCGGCGGCCTCAATGACAGACGTAGGTCCCATCAGTAGGGGGTAACTAATATTGTTTTCCGCGGCACTCGCCGCGCAACGAAGACGACGACAGCAATGACTACGACTGACACGAGGAGGAATGGGGGAGGACGGGGAAGAGGAGGAAGAGGAGGAGGAGAGAGGAAGGGGAGGACAAGGAGGAGGAGGAGAACCCACAACTGCAGGTGGCAAGGGTGGAAAAAAGGGTGAAAGACATGGCGGCAATTGTTGTACGAGGGATGACAGAATGGCGGTCTTTTCCTTCTCTGCACTAAGCAGGTTCGCGGGCCCACTGTGAGCAAGACGGCAGCGGACCACTTCTATTCGAGTTGTTTTTTTCCGGGCGATGGAGAGTGTCCCTCCGCAAGACATCGGCTACATAAGGCCAGCCGCAATGAGGCCTCAGAGTCGGGTGCTCGGCGCAACTCACCCCTGGCTCAGAAGCCTCAGCCCAAACGGAATACTGTGAACCCTGGGAGCCCTGCTTGTGGTCAGCCCGTACGCGAGATGAGCTGAGCTGACCCTGGTCAGGGTTGTGGATGGTAGCGACTCCCCACCGCCGGGAGAGCCCAAGGACAGGTTTTTGGCCTTCTGCGACCGGCCGATGTTGCATCGCAACCAGGAGCGTTTGCTCGTGGGGGGCCCGGCACAGGTCGTGCCCCTCGTGCACTCGAGCCGCAGCACCGATCGTGCCTTCCAACCAAGTTCGTTCCCTGGCTCTATATCCGGCACAGTGCTGGTGTGGCCGCTCGCCTTCGGCACCCTTTTGTGAGTACGTGCCAGTGAGCGTAGCTGGCCATTGCGTCGCTTTCGCGGCTGTGTTGCTGGAGGGCACCCGCGCACCTTGCGTCGTGCGCGCGCAGATGTAGCTCGTCCAATTGTTCGCCGTTGTGCGCCTGTGATTGCTAACGCTTACCAGTCACAGCTGTTGACTGGTCCGCGCATTGGTCCAGTGACCGTTGGGCGGCACCGACGCGGCGCGTGCTGTCTGGAGATGGCCATCATCCGCGCAGCGTCGCAGGTGCCTACCTCGGTTTGTTGTAGCTGCCCCGTTGTCGACAGCACAGCGTGGCCAGCGCGCCACGCCGCCGCGATGCATGCCGGTTGGTAAGAAGCGTGGCCAGTCATGTAACGCTGACCTCTGCGATGGCGCGCCATCGCGCTGGCGCCTCGTAGTGCAGGCGGTGCTGAGGTACCAAAACTGGGCACGCACGCATCGCGCCAGTCGAGTGGCTGGGGCGTCGTGACTGCCCGGGCTTCGCGATGAAGACGTTCCTGTTGTTGCCCGCGTGGCGTCAATCTCCTGCGAGACAAAAAAAGCCCTTGCAATTGGCGCAGAGGCTGGCCGACCACTGACGGCATGGGGCGGCTTCTCGATGGTGCTCATGTTGAACGAGATCTGCGATGAGCGCGTGGTCGGGTCACCCGCGCGGCGCTCGTCGCAGCTCAGTCGCCCAGTGCCTTGCCGATGATGCATCGGACTCGAAAGCACTCGAGCCCATCGGCACGTGGCGGCGGCTACGCACGTGCACTTATGCTGCACAGCGCGTTCAGGAAGACAGGGGTGGTGCTGCGCCAAGTGGGGGCACAAGCCCTGCCAGTCGATCCGTCGCGGACCCGGCGGGGTTCGCGCTGATGGCAGCCGCGTGTCGGGCCTGCACAGGGACGAACACCATGTTGAAGCAGGTGGCTGCCATAGTAGCGCGGTTGCCCTTAATTGGTGCCGGGGGTGGTGAGATAGGTACATTAGCGTTCAGTGTTCCACTCGAGTGGTGCGACGCGATCGGAACGACAATCAGCACTGTCGCACCCATCGCGAGGCACGGCAGTGACCCAGGGAGAAGCCTCGCAGTCACGACGCGAAGCTGCGGCCAGTGCCTGTGGGGTGCGATGGGTCGGGGAACGTCGTGGCGTTCTCGTGGGCGGGTCGCCCCACATCGCTGTAGCTCCTTCCGCTGCGGTGCTGCTGCCCTTCGCACCTGGGCTCTCGCACGACTCCTACGGCGTACGGCATTTGTCGTCATCGTCGCCTGTGAACGTCCAAAGCAAATTACCGAACGGTTTACCTGACAGCCGTGAAGGCTGCTCGTGGGACGGACGGTGGTATCAATGAAGAAGTTGGGGGGGATGCGAATTTGCATCCACATCCCAATCTGCGCAGCCCCGTGAATTGCGAGCCGGGGTCGCTCCAAGCTCCGCTGCCAACTGGAATTGCGGGTGGCAGTGGTGAACAAGTAGGAGCAAATCGGCCATGGCAACATGAGAGATAGCACAACGACGGTCTCTTCCCTCTCAACACTAAGCATGGTCGCGGGCCCGAAGCGAGCCAGGTAGCAGCGGGCCCCTCCCATTCGAGCGAGGAGGAAGAAGGGGAAGAGGAAGACGAGGAGGAGGACGAGGAGGAAGAGGAGGAGCAGGAAGAAAAGGAGGATGAGGAGGGGGAGGAGGACGAGGACGAGGACGAGGAGGAGGAAGAGCATGAGCATGAGCATGAGCAGGAGGAGGAGGAGGAAGAATAAGAAGAATAATACTAGGAAGAAGGCGGGGAGGAGGAGGAGGAGGAGGCGGAGGAGGGGGAGGAGGCACGAGGAAGGAGGGCGGAGGGAGGGATGTGCTCTGCTCCCCTTGTGGACGCCGAACGTGCCAGCTGCAAGGTGGAGGGCGGGAGGAGAGATGATGGAGGAGGGGAGGGAGAAGGGAGGACGGAGGATGGAAGGAGGGAGGAGGGAGGAGGAGGAGGAGGACGAGGGAGGAGGAAGAAGGGGAGGAGGGAGGAGAGGAGGGAGGAGGAGGAGGAGGAGGAGGAGGAGGAGGAAGGAGAAGAGGATGAGGAGGGGAAGGAGGAGGAGGAGGAAGAAGAGGAGAAGAAGAGGAGAAGCAGCAGGAGGAGGAGCAGCACCAGACGAAGAGGAGGAGCAGCAGGAGGACGGAGGAGGAGGACGAGGAGGAGGAGAGGAAGGAGAGGAGAAGGAGGACGAGGAGGAGAGGAGGAGGAGGAGGAGGAGGAGGAGGAGGAGGAGGAGGAGGAGGAGAGAGGAGAGGAGGAGGAGGGAGAGGAGGAGGAGGAGAGAGGAAAGAGGAGAGAAGAGAAGGACGAGGAGGGGGAGGAGGAGGAGGAGGAGGAGGAGAAGGAGGAAAAGAGGAGAAGGAGAAGAGGAGAAGGAGAAGGAGAAGAGGAGGAGGGATGAGGAGGGGAGGAGGAGAAGGAAAGGGAAGGAGGAAGGGGAGGAGGAGGAGGGAGGGGAAGAAGAGGGGAGGAAGGGGAAGAGGAGGAGGAGAGAGAGAGCAGGAGGAGGAGGAGGAGGAGGAGGACGAGGAGGAGGACGAGGAGGAGGAGGAAGGAGGTCGAGAGGAGGAGGACGAGGAGGAGGAAGGGGAGGAAGAGGAGGAGGGGGGAGAGGGGAAAAGGGAGGAGGAAGAGGAGGAGGAGATGGAGGCGAGGAGGAGGAGGAGGAGGAGGGAGGGAGGGAGGGAGGGAGGGAGGGAGGGAGGGAGGGAGGGAGGGAGGGAGGGAGGGAGGGAGGGAGGAGGAGGAGGAGGAGGAGGAGGAGGAGGAGGAGGAGGAGGAGGAGGACGAGGAGGAGGAGGGAGGGGGGAGGAGGAGGAGGAGGAGGGAGGAGGGAGGAGGAGAAACGGGGGCGTGGCCGAGCTCAGGGGGGAAAATCGACGAGCCCCCCTGTAGACTGGCGAGGTACCCCGATACCAGCACAGCACGCTCCCGGGCGGGCGGGCCCCTCGGGCCCCCGTCGGCGACCAGTGCTGGCTCCCCGTGCTCGACCTGGGGCAGGCGCTGGTGCAGGTGCGTGGCTGGCGCCACCCCGTCCCCGGGAGCCCCGTCCCTCGGAGCCCTTTTTTTTTGCCTCAACGGCTCACCACACAAGTGACCACACCTGCCATCAGTGGGCGAGTGGCATGAGACGCTGGAAATAAGCACCTGCAGGCACCGCCTGCACACGGAGGCGAGCATCCTGAACACGGATGCGAGCGCCACTTAGGTCGCCCCATCCCTCGGAGCCCGGAGCCCCGTCTTCTGCCCCGCCGACGACGACCGGCGCCCGCACGAGCAGGAACTGCCAGGCACCGGCAAACCGCCAGGCCCCCGGGGCGCCGCGCGGGCCCGGGCCGGGCAGCGAGGGGGCTGGAACCGATCGGTGCGACACTGGGCCACGGCCTGCGCCGGGAGCCCGTCGGCGTCGCGCCCGGGGCGCGGGCCAAGGCCGGAATGCTGTGGCGCGCCTCGGGGCCCGCCGGTGCGGGCAGTGCGTCGGGATGCCCACTGCAGGGGGGGGGAGCGTCAACAGGGAGGACAGGTGGGGGGGGGGGGGGGGCAACGTGCGCCGCGGCTGCCCAGGCACTCCAGTCGTTCTCCCTCCTCCTCCTCCATTTCGTCCTCCGCCTCCTTCTTCTTCCCCCTCGCCCTCGTCAACCTGCTCGAGCCTACCGAGTCTCTTTCCGAATGTGACGCGTCCAAGACTACAAGACGAGCAGGCCCGATCCCGCTGCGCCTCCCACATCATGACGCCGAAAGCCCAAACGTCGACGTTCTCGGTGTACTTCTCGTTCCGGAAGATCTCCTCTGGAGAGTCTGGGAGCACATACCCCGATGGGCTTTGTCAGGGGCTGGCAGGAGGATGGTGAATACCGCTCGTCTGCGGACAAGCGGACCAACAGCCTGCAATCCGCACACTGCTGGGGGGGCACTGGGGCAGCGCACGACGGGCAGGGAGGGTAAGCACGGCGGCGAGATCGAGCCGCGACGGGCGGGAAAGGACTGTGTTGTGCCGCTCATGTATCTGGTTAACCTTACGATTTACGGGATTACGGGACATTCGAACTCAAGGCAAGGACTTTCGATGAGTACGCAGCACCGTCTCGACCAACACAGATGACAAAGTTGATCCATTCGTGACGCTCAGGCTGCAGCAAGATAAAATGACCATGTCATGCTGATATCAGAAAACGAGAACGGCATGGTGCCAAGAAGACGTGAAGCAGCGGCAGGCGGGGAATAGTAGGATGATGCAGAAGGAGACTACTTGCTGGAGGAACTTCTGTAGAAGAAGACGAAGAAGCAAAACAGCACGAGCATAAACTTTTGGAACTATGCGCGGACTTCTTGGATTGGCGATGGACTCCCGTCGCTGGCGCGCGGAGCGCGCCAGGGACGGCGCCAGAGGCCCCGCCATAGGGGCCCAGCGCAGATCCAAGAAATCCGAGAGGAGCTCCAGAAAATGTATGTTGATGATGTTCTTTCTTCGTCGGCTCTTGAAACCAGCCCGGCGTCTCCGGCGCCATGTAATTTGGTGTGCCAGCAAACTGCATGGCGCCCGTCATCAGCTCCGACTTCATGCGCGCCAAGCCGAAATCACAGAGCTTCACCTGTCCATTCCCCAAGGCGCTGCCGGGTTAGTACCGTGAGCGCTCGTCCATGGACGGTTCACATCGTGCTGAGCACAGAGATCCGATGCCCCCTACAGCTTACCCTGAAATCCTGGCGCTGCAATGTGGCCATGTTTTTCACACCGTGCGATTTCGCCTGTTTCGGGCCGCAGAGCCCTCACGGATCGATCTGGCTGGAAAAATGCTAGAAATATAGAAGGTCAGTCTCCAGACGTGATGTTTCGGGATGCTGCTTTTTTTGCGCACCGTCGGATCTCAGGGTAGGCGGGTCGGCTGCGAGCACGAATAAGCGAGGAGCCATAATACAATCTATGTTGGGGTTCCAGCCGCTTCGTGTCGTATCGCAAAAATCCGACGTGCGGCACAAGATCCTCCTACCTGGATCAGCCCCCCAGACCTCTGAGAGAACGCGTTCCGAGGACGCCTGCCTGGGAAAAACACCCTGACACGCTGGAGCCAGCGGAGGCCCCCCCCTCCCCCGACAAAAACAATTGAGCGCTCCTGGAGACCCAAGGGTTGGCCCCTCCCCCTGGACACCAGCCTCCCTAACCAGGGGGGGCCGCCTCCCCAGGGGCGGTGGTTCGAGAACCGGGAAGGGGGCCCCGTCCCTGCAACGTCGTCGTCGTCGTCGTCGTCGTCGTCGTCGTCGGTCGCCGTCGCCGTCGCCGTGGCCTTCGCCATCGCCGTCGCCGTCGCCATCGCCGCCGCTGTCGCCGTCGCCGCCGTCGACTGCGGCGGCGGCGCCGTCGTCGCTGCCGGTCGGCGACGGCGTCGGCGCTGGCGCTCGCGGTCGCCGGTTGCAGGGGGATGCCGCCCTCGTCGTCGCTGCCCAACAGCGCAGGCGCCGGCGCCGGCGCTCAACGTCGTCGGTTGCAGGGGGCGGGTGACCTCCCAGTTCGAACCCCGCCACCCCCTGCAACAACTCGAGGGGGGGCCCTCCCCCCAGCAGGACGCCCCCGCCCCCCCCTTGGGCTGAGGGCCCCCCCCTTCTTGGACAGAGGGGGGCCCCCCCCCGGTCGACCAGTTCGAACGCCCCCCCTTGCATCTCAGGGGGGGGAGCCCCCCACCAGTTCGAATCGCCCTCCTTCCCAACGTCCACAGAACGCGCTCTTTCAGACCTTTCCGTGGAATCCGTGTCCTGATGAATAGGCCTGGAGCCTTCTGTGGGGGCAGGTTCAGAGCGGGAGCACCGGGGCTGTGATGAAATGGCGTTCAAGGCGATCTGGTCCCCTGACCTACACGTCCACGCAGCAATCGTGAACCTCAACATATTGGCGATAGCCAGTCTTCTCAATTTCGCCTCGCAGATCCCTCTGCTCCTGCAGTCTTTACGCCGGCCATGTCGGAACGGATCGATGGTGTGTGTAAAAACTGGTGGCTGCCGCTAGCCCTAACAGGAGGCTGCCGCTAGCCGTAACCCGGATTACAACAGAACTGTCGCCCATAATTGGACAACGGGGTTTTTTTTCTCTCTCTCATCATCAATAACCCTTGCTGCTCGCACCCGTTCTCTCCCTCCTCTCACCCCTCCCCTCCTCCCACATCCCCCCGCCCCTCCACACCACTCCTACTCTTCCTCCTGTACCCACTCTCAAGAACCACCAGTCCGATCTTGCAGTCCAGCTCTGCACCTCTGCATTGTGCTGGAAGGTGTTGCTGTTGCAGGGCAGCAGTTCGCCTAGTGCCAATGGTGGCGAAGCAGTGCGACTTTAGGGGTGGTCCTCTCGTGTTTTTGAAAAAAACATACGGCCGCGACTTCGATGCCTGCTTGGACATCGCTGGCGCATCTTCGCTGGCACATCTCCGCGGCCGCGCTGGCGCGGGCAAACTCGTCGCCAATTGGCGCGGGCACTGGCCATCGGTAAGCGGCATCGCGGCAGGCCGGTTTGGCAAAACCGATGCGGCCGCGATGGCGCTTACCGATGCCACCTTCCCAGCGCTTCTCAAAAGTTTCGCTGGCGCGCGGGCGCTCCAATGCGGGTCGTTGACTCGGGCGGGCGCGGTATCATGATGACGCCGGCATCTGCGGCAATGATGATGACAATAGCGATGGTGTTGGCGATGATGACGATGACGACGGCAAGGCCAATAACAGCGCCGATGCTGGTGACGACCTTGACGATGATGCTAATGATGATGATGTCCGTGTGTTGATGATGAAGGCGCTTGAGTCGCGATAATGTCGGCAATGGCGGCGATTGTCGATGAAAATGACGTAACGCGGCGGCGCTGATGAGGGTGATTCTGAGAAAGTGCGCGCGCGGGAATTGGAAAACCCAGGAACTCTGGCGAATGTTCGGTTGAAAAAGATCTGGGTATCCATACATGTTTGAAGAACTCTGGTTTGAAATGGTTCGAGGCGCAATGGTTTTGGAAGGATTTCGACACGCGCGCGCGGGCCGCATGGTACAGTCGGGGCCCGACCACAAGAAAACTTCCACAAGAAACCCGACCCTTCGACCCCAGGACGTCCACGATGTTTTGTGTGGGAACGTCACGCCTTCCATGGCAGAACCATCCAAACCCAAGAAACCCAGGGCACCCTGGAGGCGAGCAAGGTGTTTCTTGACATGGGCCTACACTGTAGTTTGACATGGTTCGAGATGCAATGGCTTTGGAGGGGTTTCGACTCGCGCGCGCGGCCCGCATGGTATTACGTCATACGGGTTCGTGCACTGGGCGCATGCTGGACCAACGCAGATGCACTGTGTGGTGAGACGAGAGTGCGGGCTCTGGACGAGATAGCTAAAACCACGTGGATGTCACATACAGAGTAGGCCAGTCCACAAGAAACCTTCCATACGAAACCCAACCCTGTGATCCCAGGGCGTCCCTTGATTGTTGGTGTGGGAGCGTCGCGCTTTCCATCGCAAAGCCATCGACACCCAAGAAACCAAGGGCACCCTGGAGGCGAGCAGGGTGTTTCTTGGCATGGGCCTCCACTGCAGCTAAAACCATGTGAATTTCACATCGCTTCAGCAGCAAATGCGCACGGGCAACACATGTGAAAGAGCTTGTTGGGAACAACGAAGAGCTGGTTGATGCTGTTATGTTGAAATGCTCGTAGAACTTGCGTGCTTGGTCTGACTTCGACATGGGCGCGCGTAGACTTCGCGACATGTGTTGCAAGGGAGTGCTGGGAATACTCTTTCGCCATGAACGAGTGCACGCGCACAGTATTTTTTGGCAGGTTGAGGGGGGGGGCGATCTCCAGCCTGCTTTGGATGGCACGATCTCGTTGTGGAAAGGGGGCGATGAGGCAGAATCGTGCGAGCTGCAGTGTCCCGGGGGGGGGGGGGTAGCGGTGACCCCGCGGGGGAGAGGGTAAGTAATATCAGCGTCGGCGCATCCCCCGCTCGAGAAAGCACAACACCCGCGCGGTGCGAGCTGCTGCGTCGCGCCGTCTGCGTCGCGCAGCCCACGTGGCGCCCAACGGCGCCCACGGGGCGCCCGCTCGGCGAGTACCCCCCGGGCAGGCCCAGGGCCGGGTGCTGCTAGAAGTGCCCCTGGCCCACGGTGCCCCCGGCTTTTCGCTCCATCTCGGACCAATCCTGGAGCAATTTGTTTGTCGTTTCCGGTCGCCGTTTTTTCGCCGTTTCCATTTTCAAGGGACACTCTTTTGGAAACGGTGGAAAAACGGCCCTGCCGTTTCCAGGGCCCACTAAGGCCCCAGGGCCCTACCACTAACCAGGTCCCCTTACCCGGGGTCCTGGCTATACCCGACTTGGGCCAGTGCCCCTGGCCCACGGTGCCCCCAGCTCTTCGCTCCATCTCGAACCTCTTTGGGGTCCTCTGGGCCTCGTGAGAGGTGCCCTGGAGGCCATCTGGGCCACCCCCGAGAATCCTGGGGGCACCTTGGTCGGGCGTTGGCAGAACTGGGTTTAGCGCAACCTGGTTTACTGATTTGTACCGTGGGCGCCCGCCCGTCCCATTTCCGCTCACCGGAACTGCCGTCACCCGAAAAACACCGGTTACGGCAAACCTGGTTCAGTGAATCCGGCCAACTGAGGGGCCCCAGGGCCCTACCACTAACCGGGTCCCCTTACCCGGGGTCCTGGCTATACCCGACTTGGGCCAGTGCCCCTGGCCGACGGTGCCCCCAGCTCTTCGCTCCATCTCGAACCTCTTTGGGGTCCTCTGGGCCTCGTGAGAGGTGCCCTGGAGGCCGTCTGGGCCACCCCGAGAATCCTGGGGGCACCTTGGGCCAGGGGTACCTCGAGCAGCACCCGACAGAAGCGGCGCGCGAGGCGCCCACGGGGGCGCCCGCGGGCGCGCCCGCAGGCCGCACCCCCGCGTGGGCGTGGCGCCGGCGCACCCAGACAGCGCGCGAGGCGCCAGCAAAGCGCCCACGAAGCGCACCCTCCTCCTCCTCCTCCTCCTCTCCTCCTCCTCCTCTCCTCCCTCCTCCTCCATCCTCCTCTCCTCCCTCCTCCTCCCTCCTCCTCCTCCCTCCTCCCTTCCCCTCCCCCTCCCTCCCCCTCCCTCCCTCCCTCCTCCCTTCTCCCTCCTCCCTCCTCCCTCCCTCTCTCCTCCCTCCCTCCCTCCCTCCCTCCGCAGTGGGCGAAACAACGTCGACGCGCCCAGGCAGGGCACGGGGCGCCGACGCGCCAACTCACACGGGGCCACGAGTGTTGTTATCCCAAGCGCATCGTTCCCCTCGCATTCGTTTTCTGTTTGCGTCGGCGTCACCATCGTCATCGCGCACGTGGGACGTCGCAGGATATTCAGAAATGGCGGGTCTTCCTCCTCCTCATCCTGCTCCTCCCCATTCCGCTTCTAGGTCGTCAGCGGCAGCATCCTTGAGTCGGGAGGGGGGAAAGACATCTACGGCGAAGCATGCTTTCCTAGTATTGGGAGGTTGGCCTTGCAAGTGTTCAAACACGGTGGGCTTTTCGGCTTTCCAATAGCATTACAGGCATATGTTCAGGACAGCTTCTGGTAGGTGAGAATGCCAAGTGTACCCCCTTGGGACGTCTTAC